TGAAAAGTACATTGCATTAAGAATACCCGACATCGTTTCTTTAAGTAAAGAAACGGCGCGCCGTTACTATTAACGGAGAGCGCATTTTTGTGTGTGTTAATTACCAACTTAAACTACAGTGTATCTAAATTGACACTACAGTGTATCTAAACCGACACTTCCTCACGTATTATTTTTATATTATCAAAGAAGTTATATCAAAATGATACTGTAATTGTGGTGAAATGAAGTTGCAGTGTATATAAAATGAAATTGAATAACATTTCACATATTTGGGTGTATATTGTACAATGAAACTGTAATTATATCGAAATAATCATGTGGTTGTGTTTTAATGAAACTATAGTGTATATAAAATAAAATTAAATAACATTTTCACATATTTGAGTCTACAAAAATCGAATGAAACTGTAGTTATATCGAAATGAAAGTGTAGTTGTGTTGAACTGAAACTGCAGTGTATACAAAATAAAACTGAATAACAGAGTTACTTTTTGCGGAAGGGTGTGGAACAGCACGAAACGGATGCCGTTTCTTTTCATTAAACAAAACAACGTCGTTTTGAAGCGCGATGCATAATCGATTATTCATCGCAGTGCACGATATAATTTGCCTACCTATATATGATGAGCTAGATCTAAAAAGCGTTGACAAGAATCAAGTTCGTAAACTTTTGATATGAGAATATGTTTCACTTAACCATTTGTTTCCAAACTAAATTGGCATTATTTGGTGACAAGTACGCGCCTACTATACATGTGATTTAGATATAGAATTTGAATAGTGACAAATAAAAACGTACTCATATTCAAAAGTATTATATTATAATTTATATATAAACCTTGTCTATAATTCAGTTATATACGACATGATAATATAAGGCTAACCCCATCTCAGCAACTCTTTCTCACTTTTTAAAATGGGTCCCACTTCTATATCACCCAATTTACAAATCATTTATTATTCACACTACATCCCTACAATTTCAACCAACTTTTTAAAGTGAGCCCCAATTTCACATCACTTTAAAAAATTAATATCTTTTTCTCAATAAATATTATTTTCTCTTCTTTATATATTAATTTATGTATATCAATATATAAATTATATTAAGTACTAAAAATAATAAAAATGACCTCAAATCAAAAAACATACGGAATAATTTTTAAAATAGATTACTTTTAAATATTTAAAATAGTTATACGGAAAATTTAAAAACGCAATTTTTAAAAATAATTTCAAAATTCATTCGTACTAGATATATAACCGAATGCAAGTTATACTACAATTTTTTTTTTATCTAAAATAATTCATGTTATTAATTTGAATTATGATTTAAATTGTAAAACTAAACCTCAAACTACAATTAAGCCAAGTACAAATTTGAAGACATTGAAATAACTAAAATTAAACAAATTACAAATCCAAAGACACTGAAATCATTAAAAGTTAGGAAACTACAACTAACCGATTCCACTGAAATCATTAAAAGTTAAGAAACAACAACTAACCGATTCCATTGAAAGCAAATACATTTATTCATTTATTTCATCTCCACCAAACCAATTCCATATCTCCTCGATCAATTCTTCTTGTAGTCGATGATTTGTTGGTCTATTGCGAATCCTTGCATGATTTCGAATATAATCCACCAACCTATCATCCATCATATTCCATTTTTACTCCAATGTCTACCCCCACTGGGTTTACTCATCCTACTCCTGCAACAAATATACCTTTGCCAGAATTTCCTGAGTACTCCACTCAAGAAATGCCAACACCTCATGAAACACGACCCACAAGCATATTGAAAAGTCGATGGACAAATAAGGATGACATGTTGTTATGTAGCGCATGGCTCAACATTAGTAAAGATGATGCAGTTGGAAATGATCAAAGTGGTAATAGCTTTTGGAATCAAATTGTAGAATTTTACAATCAGTACCGAAGCCAACCTGAGCAATCAAGAAGAAACAAACAGGCATTGATGAATCGTTGGGGTAAGATAAATCATTCAGTTTTAAAATTCGTCAGCTATTATGAACAGATTTTGCATCGGAGGGAAAGTGGCATAAATGAAGCTGATAAAAGAAATAGGGCCATGCAATTATATCACGAGATTGAGAAAGAAAATTTTATATTTTTGCATGCTTGGGAAGTGCATGCTAAGGAATGAAGAGAAATGGTGTAGCCAGGATGGGAGGGGCATTGATGTTCACTTGACCAGGGGTCCAAAGCGAACAAAAAATATGGAGTCAGGTAAATACACATCATCATCATCAAATACATTTTCACAATCAAGTGAGACACCGTGTGTGGGAGTGCCTAGCCCTCGTCCCTTGGGAAGGGACGCTTCTAAGGCGAAACGAAAAAGAAAGCAATCACCAACACAGTCAACGGCATCATAAAGTTATGGCGAGCACGTTGAAAAGCAATGACCGTGGAGATGGAAAAAGTAAATCTTATGAAACAATATATGAAGCGACAAGAAGAGAGGTTGCAATATATGAATGAAACGCAAAAACAGTTGTACGATAAGCAAATGAAGAAGTTATTAAATGACTAAGTATGAAGAAATTAATTTGTAGGCATTGTATTTAGAAATCAATAAAAATTAATGTACTCTTTTAATATATTATTTCATTAAAAAAATTATTAAGTAAAAAAAATAGATTATAAAACAAATTAGAAATAAAAATAATAATTTTAATTTTTAAAAATATATTACGTAACAAATTTCAATACAATAATTTAAAATAAATTAGTTAATAACAAAATAAAAATCATTAACAAAAACTCTTCACTCTATATATATATATATATATATATATATATATATATATATATATATATATATATATATATATGTAAAAGTTAGTTTACAAAAAGAATAAAAATTTAATAATAGTACGGCAGCTTTTGCTGCAAAAGCTGCCAACAGCAAGCTTGCTGTAGATGCAAGCTTACTAAGTGACATGGCAAAATAAAATAAATGAGAATTGCTAACAAAATGCCACATCATTTAGAAATATGGGTAATTTCAAGGATGGGGGCAGCCTAATATTTCTAAATACCTAAACTTTTAAGATAATATAAATATAAATAAAAAAAAATAGAATTCAAGAATCCTAACCCTATATATACCATAAACTTACAACAATAACAATACAATAGGAAAAAACATTGACCATCTAGCAGGCAATTATGTATGCTTTTCTTTTTCTCCATAGTACGCACCATAATCCCAAAAAATGCATGCTTGTACGATGTACCTCATGCAAAAGGCACTCATAACAATAATTGATGAACAATTTTAATAGTTTTCGTAAGTTCACGAATTCCGTAGTGGCACAATGTACAAAAGTTAGTGTCGATCCCATGAAAAACTGTTCATATATAATCCAATAAAATAATTAATAATTCATGAAACTAGAGTGATAGAATATAAATACTAAATATAATAAAAAGTGAAAAGTTCAGAAATCAGACATGAATACAAGAACGCAAACAAGTAATTAAACAATAAGAAAGGTAGTATTAGGAAAATGCAGAAAATGTCGTAGTGAAACTACGTTTATGTAGGCTGGAAAGAACGAATTTATGTGGAACCGAATATCTGTGACTTGTATAAGACACTGCATTAAAAGCGATTTCCCGAAAACGGTGTTGTCTTAATTCCGGTCGCTTTCGACTAGCAAACACAAATCTGCTGCGATTTAGAACACAGTTGAATCGCAGGCGAACTTGACTTAAAATATGCTCAGGCGAGAGAAGAGAAGAAGAGAATGTGAAGGTGTGTTTTGAGAGCACTAGGGGACGGGTATTTATAGCTTCTGAAATAACTGTCCCCCATTCCAGTCACATGATTTCTTCATATATAGCGTAACTAACTCAACAACTAAGAGATAGAAGGCCACTAAAATTAGGAGATTTATTATGGCCACACAAATTAATTTCGGAATCTGTTTAGTGGCGAAAAAATATAGAAATAAAAATAAAGGAGACGTAAAAGGATACCACACCACACCTCGCATGCGTGCGGCGACGGGCGCGTGGGGATTCCCATTTCCTTTCCCTCCATGATATTTCAAATGCTCTAAAAGTATTGGTATTTAAAAGGAGGGAAAAAGACTCTTAAAGGAAAGTAATGTGGGACAAGATGTGATTGAAACTACACCTATTTGAATGTTATCTCCAACAATCCTGCACACATTCAAACAGGTGTAGGAGCAAAGAATGTCTGAGCATATCACAAGAGTTGACCAATGCCAGTGTTATTTAAACTTGAACTGACACATAATGACTTGAGTAACTTCATTCTCAGGAGTGAATTAGATCTTGAACTCTTTGAGAAGTGACAAGTTTTGAACTCAGGTTCACACATCAACTCTTAATATGTGCGTTCTTTGTAAGTCCCCAACTCTTGACTTTGGATCTACCTCTGCGTAGATTGCATATTTGTGAACATTTCATGTTTAGTTTCATATGGGTATCGATGGGGTGTGGACCTCAATGGGCTAGGGGCCTAAACGAAGGAAATAAATAAAGGAATGGGCTTGCTATGATGGGCCCAAGAAAGGGAATCTGCTCCATGGGCCTTGAGAAGAACTCAGACGAATATGGAGCCGAGTCCGGGGAGTCGGCATCAACAAGAGTCGGTCTGGTAGGTGACCGTTGCCGCTTCAAATGCCAGCCATTAATATGGGTCAATCCAACCGTTGGGAGAGTCCAGTAACGGCAACCCAATGTCTCTTAGCCTTTATTTCCCATTATTACGCATTAATGCTTGTATTTAGTTAGTGTAGGCCGGTCACTTATAAATAGGTCTCTCTCAAAATGTAAGGGACCAGTTTTTTCCTAGTCGAGAAGACACTCGGAAACCATAACAAGGGTCACACACCTTATAGCCATTTCTCTCCTTCAAAGTCACTCCTATTTTCTCTTCCGGTGAATCCACCAATCTAACGGATTGTGTTGGACCTCCGTTGTAACACCCCAACTTAAAAACCAAAATAAAAGACTTTTCTTACTAAACAACTAAATACAAATGCGGAAGCAAAATCAAAATCTAAACCATTGGGGTGCTATTGCCACGCTTGGGCAGCCAACTAAGCCCAAACGCAGAGGCTAAAAAGGTTTCTATCAACAAATCCATATTACAACATTCCACTTTCCAAATCACAAATTAACTACAATAACAATTCAAGTTCTAAGACTAAACCAGTTATACCAAACTCAAATCCAAGACTACGAGCTTTACGCCGCACTCTCAAACTAGCAACAACTTTAAATCCTGCAAACATTAAGGTTTGGAAAACACAAATAAAAGGATTAGCATAAAATGCTAAGTAAGCTCTACTCCGCCCTGTAAAGTACTTACATTTATACTTTTCAAATTGGACATACTTTGTAAATGAGTTTTAAAATCATTTCAATCATATAGTTGTTGGTGATAATGAACCAAAATCGATTTAATATCCGTAAAATAATTATTCATATATATACACACGAAATATATATATAAATATTATTGGATATTTTATCCGTAATATATATATCCACACAAATATATATAAACGGGCCCAAAGGTTATATATATATATATATATATATATATATATATATATATATATATATATATATATATATATATATATATATATATATATATATCTACGAGAAAGATATACCAATATATATCAACCAGAAATTGGAACTAATAATCCTCAGATTATAAGTCCAATCCAACGTATATATCAAAAGAGGGAGAACGGATTTTTGCTTAAAAGCATAATCCAACAACAAGAAAGAAGGAGAAGAAGGAAGAAATGTACGAGTTAGGCGAGATGCCTTTCTTTCCTTAAAACCTTATTTGCCACCTCCCAAAAGTGCTAGGAGCGTTGTGGCCTAGGTTTCCCAGGATAAAACGTACAACGGTTCGACGTTTGAGCACCCAAACGAACGAACCCGGCGAACAAGAGCACGGGCAAAACACAGCTTCAAGAATGGAGTAGGAGCAGAATTTTGAGAGGAAAAAAGAATTTCTTTGTGTGTGTTCTTGTTTTCTCACTTTTCTTTCTAACATTGTACCAAAAAGGTTGCTCCCACAACATGTTTATATAGGAGATTGGTACTAAATAGCATCATCATGACCCATTAACCAACATAAATTCAATTTAAAAATTGAATTATAACGTTTGAAACGGTCGTACTTATTATAGAAATAATATCAACGGTCACGAACTTAATATCCGATTAATTCGTATCGACCATAACGACCTGGTTCAAAAATATCTGAGTGACCGAGAAGTCCGTACAAACCCGAAAGTTTAACAAATTGGGACCGAAAACCACACCCGAGTGGTCCACAATCACCGAAACGGTGCAGCACGAATCAATGCATAAAGCACCAACTCGTGCTGCACACGAATCTAAGAGCCACGAAAGAAGCACGAAACTTAAGTTTTGAAGTCCATGCAACTTTCGTCCATGTAACTTTCAAAGCTTAATTAAGCTCTTAAGTTAATTAACATACTTAAGCTTTCAAAACAAAGCTTAACTACAATTTAGCTAACTTTCGTACAGGACCGAAAGCAGTGGCACGAAATGGGCTAAAACTCAATTCCCATTTATTAAGCTTTCGTACTTTGGACTTCTCCTAAATAGGTTTATTTTGAGAATCAATTTCTCATTCACCTATTACCCTTTTTGAGCGTACATTATATCAAATTCTCCGTCTCACTACGAAGAACCCGAATCCACATTGACCCGACCCAAATCGAAAATGGATCCCGCATATATTTGTACCACAAAATAATCACTCAAAATATCATTTTAATGCTATTTTTCCAACAATCCCCCTCATGAATGAAAAATGATTTTCAGGGTATTTTGAAATCGGAAACAACTGTGTTTAACGGTCGATCCCTGCATAGGATAGGTAGGGATCACTATACCCTTTGAACCTTCCCTTGTGAAGACATGTTTACTTTACTGGCTGTACGGTAGAACGCGATGTCTTTGAACCGACTGCCGTTTGTGTAGACGATGACATATCTCACACAGGAATCTCCCAACCATGCTCTGTTCTCATGAGTGTGCCCATTTTGGTCGTGGGTCACCGTCCTGGTTCTGCAAGAGTTTGTGAAGAATTGTGCCCATCAATTCTCCTTTGAAGCGACCCTCACTTCTCTCTCACATAGGTGATTCTTTTCCGAGTATCCCGCATACTCACATATGTCAACCGACATTCGAATCATTAAAGCATCAACATGCTAACCTTGCGCGGGAGTCACTGTTTCTAACGAGGAGTGGTAGGGAGTCCGAGACCCCCACAGTGACACGCTCCGTTCCATAGTTTAGTTGTCCCATTGAACCTACGTACCAGCTAGGTTGGGTGTCCACTATAGAACTTTTAGTCTAAGGGCTTTAGACCCATTCCTCGTTCCAATTTCTCCACAACCATTTGCTTACCCTCGGGTTAGCGAGTTAGCGGCCGCTACGTTATCTTTTGACATCACGTAGTCAATAGAGATAACCCCCGTTGTGAGAAATTGTTTAACGGTATTATATCTACGACTTATAAGTCTAGACTTACCATTCCACATTTAACTCTGTACTTAACCAATTTTGGCTTGACTATCGCAATGCACACAAATTAGAAGTACGAGTTCACCACTAGGAACATTCTCGAAATAATGGCATAGCCATTCGGCCTACTCGCTCGCAACACGAGTGTAAGGCTCTCAGCTTTGATCTCGTCGGATCTTAGCTATCACAAATTCATTTCGAGAATTTCCGTCCAACCGACTGCACTGGCCTACGTAAGGACGTAGCCTTTAATGGACTTAGTGTCCTTTGACATCCGTGCTATACTTTCCAAGTACGGCTAGATATCCCACGTAGTGCAGTCCAAAGTCACAAGCATACATAAGTATCTCATAACTTCCATTATTGCCTACTAGTGCGTAACACTAGGGTTACTCGTATGTCTACCGAGTTCGTTAACCGCAAAGGCAATGTCCGGCCTAGTACAACCCATTGGATACAATTAAACTACCAATAATCTGAATGTATTCTCCATGAGAAGTACAATACTCGTGATTATTGGCTAGTTGTACGTTAGTATCTAACGGTGTCCAAACCACTTGATTAACATCCTTTGTAAGGATTTAATCAACACAATGAGATTGGCTTAACACGAGACCATACGGTCTTCTCACAATTTTAATCTCAAGGATTAAATCTGCCAAGCCCACACCTTTGATCGTATGTCAAATCTCAAATTTAACATGTTCTCGGTAGAATTGATCATGTGATCGTTACTACCCACGTTGAGTTTATCGTGTATAGACAAATAGTGATAACCTCGTCTATCGTACGCATCACGTAGACATTTATCATATTTGTTTATACTAAACTCGTGACACATCATTGTATGATAAAACCTTACATGCCAAGTACTAAGGCAATTGTTTCTTCAAACCAAACAATGATCTTACCAGTTACACACATTCTTTCCATAGCGCGGAACCACGAAACCCTCGGGTTGTTCCATGTCTATTAAGAAAGCGATACATCCATTTCGATAAACTTCCAAGTCTCGCTAAACAGCTCTTGGGAAGTATCATCCTAATGGATTTCATTCTCATCACAAGAGAATATATATTGAAGTAACTGTGGCACTCGTGTTGCATGTAATATAAACTTACAAGCTCGGCCATTTTACTTCGATATAACCAATCGGTTTTATCTTCCGACTAGTGATCCACTTAGGATCCCGAGATTTTACAACCCGGATGAAGAACAACCAGTTCCAAGTATGATTCTTTAAGATAGAATCTACTTCACCTCGGTAGCCTCTCCCGTGTTGGTCCATCTGTAGAAGTCACCACTTCTACATACGTTCGAGGCTCGTTTTCTAATAACCATGTCAGAAAATCCAATTTCTTTTCTAGTAGACAAGTTAGATTGTGCGCATCACACTCTAACATGTACGTCAGAAAATATGGACCAAAGGATTTTTCAATCCTAGCTCTCTTACTACGTCTAGCTTTGAGCTCGGGTTCTCTTTCACACCCTTCAACCATAGCTACGCCGAAAGTTCCTTTCAACGTGCTAGGTCCTTTATTGATCCTTCACAAAAATACATCTTCCAAGAACAATGAATTTCTTAAATCAATCTTTCGTGTTCTTATGTACATCCAAACTCTTGGACTCGTGTACTAAGAACCAATACACACCTTTGGCAAGACACCCCCACATTTCGGGCATTAGTAGGAAAGCTTCCTACGTATCCACAATTCGTAAGAATTTCATGTGGGCAACCTTATTTAAAAGGTATTTACTTGTCCAAAGTATTGTCTCACCCCTCATACTTTGAGGTAGACCCGAACTTATCAACGTCTTGATATTTTATGTTCGGCAACAACGTTCGATTGAGGTGAATACCGTACCGTACGCTCGAGTACGACACTAACGCTTGCGCTGAAATCACCAATAGGTATTTTTTTTTCCCACCACATCGATTGTTCATAACCGCATTAATCCACGATTAATTTGGTTTTTTCTCTTTTTTAAAGAATAAACATGTGTTACACGCTAACACATCTCGTAGGTGCTAACAGATTAGCCCTCACGAATTCATTCGGTTTTGACCGAAAGGCCACAAACCCGAATCAGTGCTTCCGAAATTGAAGTACGAATCAGTGCTTAGTAGTGAAGCACGAAACATGCTATACTAAGCACGAATCATTGCTTCTAAACTAACGCATCGATTCCAAAGCAATCTCTATTGCTTTAAATTATAAACACACAACAACCTTTCGTTGCTTAATTTATAATTACAGTGCTACCTGGCACTAGGATTATTAGTTAATTACACAATTAACCAAACTTCCTTTCGTGTTAATCACAAAGCACTTTTACAACGCTAAATTTAATTAGCCACATACTATACGAAAGGTTTAAGCTAAGTAGATTAGCATTATGACCAATCATAATCTAGCACCTTTATTGCTATTACTAAAGCACCAAATGCTTAAGTTTTCAACACCTAAAGGTGCAGCCACCAAGTGGCCGAAAGTACCTAATTAGGCACTCTCCCTAGTGCTTAATAGCACTATTACAGTGTTTTAATTTGCACTTCAAAGTGCCAAATTAAATTGCACTTTCCATTAGTGCTACAAAAGCACTATTCATCAAAACACAATTTGTCTCAAATTAAATATACTAGTATAATTTGGAATTTTTGATCAAGTTAATTATAACACAATTAACGAGAACAAATCAACCAAATTTCCGACTAGTTGAATCAAGCTTATATAATCGTTCTCAGAATATTAATTAAAATATTCAACACTTGAGCTGTGACGCTCACGATTATATAGCTATCCCAATTTTTGACAAATTGATCCTTGAAATCCTTATCGTTCTACATGAATCAGAACCGAAGTCCTATTACGGGATTTCAACCATATAACACGCTAGTTACATTTCATTCCGGCTGTTAAGCCATTTTAGCATTTTCCAAATAATGCTCCGTGATGCACTACGCACCCATATTGAGTCATTTCATACATTCAATATTATTTCATCAAATAATTCGTATGTACTATGATTCAATAGCTCAATGGAACAATTCATTTTTTTATTCAACAATAAAAAATGTATCACAAGGATACTACAACATTTATTTAACAAATAAACAAATAGGAAAATTATATTGGAAACAGATTTCCTTTTTTCCTATCTCGTAGTAGTCCTTCAACCCGTGTGCTTTGTTCCATTCTCAACCGTCCACTCCACAAAGGGTGGTCCATAGCGCACATCGGGGGTACCTCGGTTGTGACCTCACTCGTCCAACCATCCACATGTTTTAAACATAGCAAAATTGTCCTCAACCTTTTCACCAGGATGACGGTTCGCTTTGTAGTGGCATTTCTCCTTTTTCTCGTAATCTTCTTGAAAGCTAAGCTTCCGCTTGAGTTTCTTTCGATTACGGTTGAAATCATTGGTAACACTACCATAGTCCTCCGACCATGTAGTCATTACACCATCATAGGATCCTTCATGGCTTTTAGCCGATCCGTTAGACCACACAATAGGTATCAATTGTGTGCCATTAGCCACTAGTTTACCGGACAGTGAACCAAAGTTCTCCGGAGCACCATCGTGTGCTTTTGCAACTCCCATGGAAATATTATTTCCAACGTTGCCACCGTCAACCGGCATCACAGAATGTGCAACATCGTTGCCGTTCTGACCATTTGAATGTGCACCTCCGGCAGCATTCATGGATCCAATACTCTTGGACTCCACCGATTTGTTCATTATCAAAAAGAAATAAATAAGGTTTTAAGATTGTTGGTGATAATGAACCAAAATCGATTTAATATCCGTAAAATAATTATTCATATATATACACACGAAATATATATATAAATATTATTGGATATTTTATCCGTAATATATATATCCACACAAATATATATAAACGGACCCAAAGGTTATATATATATATATATATATATATATATATATATATATATATATATATATATATGAGAAAGATATACCAATATATATCAACCAGAAATTGGAACTAATAATCCTCAGATTATAAGTTCAATCCAACGTATGTATCAAAAGAGGGAGAACGGATTTTTGCTTAAAAGCATAATCCAACAACAAGAAAGAAGGAGAAGAAGGAAGAAATGTACGAGTTAGGCGAGATGCCTTTCTTTCCTTAAAACCTTATTTGCCACCTCCCAAAAGTGCTAGGAGCGTTGTGGCCTAGGTTTCCCAGGATAAAACGTACAACGGTTCGACGTTTGAGCACCCAAACGAACATACCCGGCGAACAAGAGCACGGGCAAAACACAGCTTCAAGAATGGAGTAGGAGCAGAATTTTGAGAGGAAAAAAGAATTTCTTTGTGTGTGTTCTTGTTTTCTCACTTTTCTTTCTAACATTGTACCAAAAAGGTTGCTCCCACAACATGTTTATATAGGAGATTGGTACTAAATAGCATCATCATGACCCATTAACCAACATAAATTCAATTTAAAAATTGAATTATAACGTTTGAAACGGTCGTACTTATTATCGAAATAATATCAACGGTCACGAACTTAATATCCGATTAATTCGTATCGACCATAACGACCTGGTTCAAAAATATCTGAGTGACCGAGAAGTCCGTACAAACCCGAAAGTTTAACAAATTGGGACCGAAAACCACACCCGATTGGTCCACAAGCACCGAAACGGTGCAGCACGAATCAATGCATAAAGCACCAACTCGTGCTGCACACGAATCTAAGAGCCACGAAAGAAGCACGAGACTTAAGTTTTGAAGTCCATGCAACTTTCGTCCATGCATGTTCCAATTTTCGTCCATGTATGTTCCAACTTTCGTCCATGCATATGCCAACTTTCGTCCATGTAACTTTCAAAGCTTAATTAAGCTCTTAAGTTAATTAACATACTTAAGCTTTCAAAACAAAGCTTAACTACAATTTAGCTAACTTTCGTACAGGACCGAAAGCAGTGGCACGAAATGGGCTAAAACTCAATTCCCATTTATTAAGCTTTCGTACTTTGGACTTCTCCTAAATAGGTTTATTTTGAGAATCAATTTCTCATTCACCTATTACCCATTTTGAGCGTACATTATATCAAATTCTTCGTCTCACTACGAAGAACCCGAATCCACATTGACCCGACCCAAATCGAAAATGGATCCCGCATATATTTGTACCACAAAATAATCACTCAAAATATCATTTTAATGCTATTTTTCCAACAATAGTTTGACTCAATAACAAAGGTAAGTAGTAAATCATTTTCCAAGATAATTCTCCCAAAATGAAATAGGCACCAAGGCCATAACACACTCCACTCAAAATAGCATTAGGTTTCATATTAGTAATTGGGTCGCCAAAATAGTAACATTTACTCTTTCCAAAACAATATAACTACCCTATAAATCATTCGTTCATTTCCCAAAATAATAAGTATGGAGGATTTAGAAATATCACTTCTCAATATGAGTATCAATTCAAAGCATAGCTTTCCACATAATCATTTTGGAAGTATAGATAGGTATACAAGTATATATGGAGGAATTCACAATAGCAAAATAATAATCTCTTCAAGTCATCATATCAAGATATAGATTTCTCTCAAGTCATTCTCAGAAACATATATGTCAATAATCATAGATATGGAGGAATTCAAATCATATTTCTCAAATCACTTTTCCAAGTATCACATATCCATATACTCTCATATATATAAGGTGAAAGGGACGAAGGGTCTTAGATCAACTAAGCCCTAGTGACACGGTAATCCACTCTACCGGCCACTCCACAAGTTTGTCCCTTTCGTGGGATAAATGACTAAAACCTTAAGTGTGCACACCCCCTAATGGGCTTCCCCCACCCAAAAGAGTAGTAACTAGTCCAAGTAGCCCAGGATGTTTTCTACCAGGCTACTCCACATATAATAGGTATCCAGGATGTTTTCTACCAGATACAATCTCATCAAAATAGGGCCAGAGCCCACATAGGACCGAAGTCCACCATTCCACAACCATCCATCATATCCAGTTATCCACATATCATCCAAAAATAGATATATTTTTATATATCCTCCAAACAAAGGAATATAATAGTCAGCAAAATAATACATTTTCTCTAATTTACACATTTCCTCCAAATAGATAGTCCTTCAAAAATAAATATAACTCCATATCCTCCTATATAAACATAGTTTCACTCATTTCAATATACTTAGGTTTTCAACCACAATTTCTCAAAGGATGAGTTTCATCAAACTCTATAGCAATATAAATATATATCACAAAATTATAAGTTTTCCAATACTCAAATCAACCCCAATTATAATAGGTTTCAACACAAAACATTTAGGCACACCCTAAATTATACACCTTTCAAAAATATAGTTTCAACCCATATAGATCACAAGTCAACCCCAAAATAACCATATTTTGCTATTTATCACATTTTGAAACTAGAACACGTTTTCAAAATAATTTAAGTACACAACTCAAATAAGTAGCACATTTAATAAGGCAAAGTAATTTAAGCAAACATAGGAACTTACCTCAAGCTAAGCTTCCAAAGCCAAGCATCCGATTCTTGAGCTCACTCCCGAGCTAGGAACTTACCTCAAGCTAAGCTTCCAAAGCCAAGCATCCGATTCTTGAGCTCACTCCCGAGCTAACTACTTTAACAAGAAACCTGTAGATTAACCGATCCTCATTCGTTACTCAAACTATTATTAACAATAGTAGTATTAAACCATATCTCAATATCGTTAAACCAATGCTTCCTCCTTAATAATAGATCCCATAAACTCGTCCTCACTTCACTTAATCCAAATCCCATCATCACTCAACCAATTCAATAATCATTATATAACTCATAATTATCTCATTAGTCCACCCATAATAAAATAATCCAAATCCCATCATCACTCAACCAATTCAATAATCATTATATAACTCATAATTATCTCATTAGTCCACCCATAATAAAATTATATACGTTGGTAGCTAAAATTGAACCTAGGTATCCTCCTCACTAGCCCAACTCTCCAACCACCCCAACACATTGCCTATTACTCATTATTTAGGCAATTAATCTTTATTAACAGTAATAAATTCATTAACTAATCTTTATATTCAACAACCATCATCCACTGTACGTACTCAATATCATCATCTTCATTATCATCCAATATTAATCTTAATCACCAGTCATTACCTTGCCAATCCATCTTTAGGCATTAAACACCATTACTGAGTCAGCAATCCATAAATATATGCCCAAACATTCTCATTAATCATTAAGACCCATTAATCATACTTTAATCCATTATTCTTCATTATTAAACCCAAAAGCTCACCTACGGGTTCTTCTCGTCGGGGACCAGTCCATGCCGCCGAGAGGAAGGCCATTGCCGGCGAAGAGAAACTGCCGCTGCTGCAAAGAAGGGGAAGCCGACACTGCTACGGCCACCGGAAAGGAACGGAGACCGCCGTTGTCCGAGCTCACCACCAGTCGACGTCCACTATTGCTGCCAGATCTGCTACTCCACCATCGGAGAGAGGTCGCTAGGGTGGAGAACAGGGAAAAGCCGTCACTCTGTTCGCCGGAAGGAGACCACCGCCAGCCCCGACCGTCAGTTTTGCTGCTGGGCTACGCCGAACGAGAGAGGGAAAAGGAGAGGGTGAAGGTGAGAGGGACGTGAGGCAGATGTAGACAGGGGGTGTTTGGCTGTTCTTCTCTCTTTTGTCTGATGAAAATTCTCACTTTACTTACATATACACAACTATATATAATATATATTAAGAATGGATAAGGTTTCTATTATTATATTGGGTTGGGCTAGGCTTGCCATTTGATGATTGGGCTAAGAAATATATTCTGGCTCAAACTAAAATTATTGGGCTCAAGAATTATAGTATCATTTAGGCTAGGAAACCTGATATGAATAAATACGGGTTCGTCTCAGATAGACTTTTGGGTCAAAGCTTAGAATAAAATATTGAAGGAATAAAATAATTATATTTTGAAACTTTATAAAAATAAGAATTTTGGAAAATAATTTGGGGTTGTCACATTCTACCCACCTTAAAAACAAGCTTCATCCCCGAAGCTTAGACCGAAAAGATTTGAAGAGATTAGATAGAGTTTCTTTGGAAATACAACTTGAGACTTGTTGTAAAAAGGCTTTAAGACCAAACAATATGATAAAAATTGCAAGATTGATCTTAGGGATGCCGCTGATTAACAATAGGATCAAGATTATCAAGACTACAACTTAGAAGATAACGTTGTCACCTTGTACAGAAACAATTCCCACGGAAATCAAGAATGAGGTCTGAAGAGATAGAAGGGATTTCTCAACAAAAGGGTATTCAATTCTATATGGATGAATGAGGAATTCCACCTAAAAAGGGAACAAGAAATTCGACTTGAAAGGGGGTTTCTTCGGCCTAACGATTGATCGCAACGTTTTGACGATTCGATAACTTTCTTTCTTACAAATCTTTATCATTTCCCTTCAGATGAATCTCTTAGGTATACAATCTTAGTATTTCAACATTCCAATCCCCTTATCGTAAACTCAACTACTTCATATTTCATTCTCATCCTTAAGTTTCTTTCTTTAAGTTTTCACACAACTTATCATTCGCAAATTCACATCCCTTAACTTGCCATTTTTCTTAATTAAAGTCCTAGTTTCCCCACACTTCAAAAAAAAACATACTATTTACTTACAACTTTTCTTCTCGCTTTCATATATCTCATAAGTCCAAAGTCATTATCAAGCATCTTAGACTTCATTCTTTCCGAGTTCACAACTCCTATCTTATCCATTTCTTATCCCTTCAGGGATAGAGGGAATCATCTTCACGTTTGTTCAATCCATCCTTAAGTCCAATTTCTCGGTGCTTCGAGTTTTACTTTTAACCTTCGAGTTTAATCTTTGAAATTCTCTTCCCCATTGATCCCAACAGCATTACTTGGGTGGGTTTGACTTCTTCTCGTTGCATCAACAATTACACTTGTCTTCCTCTCACAATTGTGGATCCTTAACCGTGGCATCTAAGCTCTAATCACTTCCTTTTCTTCACATTTGTCTCTAATTGCACGAAGATTCACTTCAACCTTGGGATTAACTTAGGTCTTGTAGACAAGACTGTACGAGTGATGATGACGATCATCTCGAGCCGAGACTGTTACAACAGCTGAGCCAACACAGTTCGGGAGAACAAGAGAATGACTCGGCGCCCCGACCACCGCCGCCACCTACAGTTCCGCTTACACCCGCTCAAATCGACACTATCACTCAAGTTGTGGAAGCGCGGGCGCAAAGGCAGAGGGCCCCGCTGGCTTCTCAAACCCCCATGTGCCCCAGAATAACCACGTCCAACCATCTAAGCAAGAGGGTAGGGACCAGGTGAGTTGAGGACAAGGCAGTCAGCAAACCCGATCCGTGCACTCGAGATTGGGTCCTAACGCCACTCGACGCTCCGTACAAGGACGATTAGGCGGGAAGGCACCTAGCTGAGTTCCGCCCACTCGGCAAAACAGGGGAGTTAGAGAGGGGGTGACGTCCGCATGACCGACTGAGACCCAAAGTCGACGAATCAGGATGAAGGTAGCGGTGGGAAAGGCGCCAAACCGAGTCTCAAGAGGAAGAAAACACCGAGTCTATAGGGAATCGGACGGATAGCCCCGATGAGATGGCTTACTTAGCGCAGGAGATACAAAATTTGAAGGATCAATGGGAAGGAAAATCTAAGTGCCCCGGTCGAGCTTTTCTCACCACCTTACCTTTCTCGACCGAGGTCATGTCATTCAGAATACCCGGGGATTTCAAATTCCCCGAGAAGGCTACCTTTGATGGGACGGGTGACCCACGAGAGCACCTCCTAAGCTACCAAGCAAAGATGCAGGTTGTTGGTCCCAAAAGAGGTAAGGTAAAAGTCTAGAGGGGGGGGGGGGGTGAATAGACTTCCAAACTTTTTAGCACAATACCACAATTGCTAAGCCAGAGATAAACCAAAACTCTTAACTAGATTGTTAGAGTATGGTGCACAGCGGAAATAAATAAATGATACGGTGTGTGTGTAGATTGTGTCAAGATTATTCTCGTGAGAAGCAAGCAAGAGCAGTAAGTAAAGAAAGCAGTAAAGAACACAAGGCAATTTATAGTGGTTCACGAGGTGGTGTAATCCTCCTACTCCACTTGCTCTTATCTCCAAGAGCAATTCACTATATCCACCACTTCTTGGTTCCAAGATACAATGAATTTCCGTGATCTAGTGCTTTGATCACCAAGCCCACACTAATCACGCCCAGTGCCACCAACACTACTGCTTTGGGTTTCACGTCGCCGCGTTACTTTCCCAGGATTTCACGACTCCGCGTTACTTTCCGGGTCTTCTACGATCCGGTAGAAACGTATCCTTCCGTGATCTATTGCTTTGATCACAAAGCCCGCACTAATCACGCGCAATGTCCTCCGACACTGCTGCTTCGGATCTCACAACTCCGTGTGACAATCCAGGATTTCACAACTCTGTGTTACTTTCCTCCTTTCCCTTGTTTTGCTCCAAAACAAGTTTTGCCTTGCTTCCAACTTTGAGACTTTGTAGATGATTTTCGATGATGCTCTTAGTCTCTTGTAGTTTATGAAGATTCTAACACTCTTAGATATTTCTTTTGTAAGCTCTGTATCACTCTGAGTGTTTATCTCACAAAGAATATATCAATTTAAGCTCTTGAGATGGAAAGCTTTCTTTGAATTTCGTATGCTCTGTTTAGCTTTGCTCTTTGTATTCTTTGTATACTTGCTTTTGCTTTCCACAACTTCAATCTTCATCCTTTTATAGCTGGTAATGAGAATCCGTCCGTTGGAAAGAAACGTTCTCATTTTTGAATTTCATCTAGCTGTATAGCCTTTTTAGAGGATAAAATAACGTTACAGATATGTCAGAGATTCCCTGCAAGTTGAGCTTGAGGTTTTAGCAAAAATGGCGTCCCAAAAATCTTCATCTGGTGTAGATCACACCTCTTGGGATTTCTATCTTCAAAAATATAATCTCCCATTTAATCCCTTACTAGTGTAGACTAGTATTTTTGCTTCTGCAACTCCTTCTTGTATTTCCTCTGTACTTCACATGTCTGGGTTTGTTTACTGCTGCCAGACTTCATCTTCTTAATTGACTTGAAAAATCTCTTCCCATGTAAACTTCATCCCTTACTATATTTGGAAGTGGAAAATCTCTTCCCATGTAAACTTCATCACTTACTATATTTGGAAGTGAAATCTCATCCCTTCCTTGATTTGGACTTGCAACTTCATCCCTTGAATTGAAGCCCTTTGCAAATCTCATCCCATCAAATTGAAACTTCTGCCCCAACTTCATCCTTTCAATTCCTTGTATCCCTTCAATTGGAATTGCATCCCAATTTTATCTATTGGAATTGCATCCCAATTTTATCTATTGGAATTGCATCCCAATTTTATCTATTATCTTTTTATCTATTGGAATTGCATCCCATTGTCAACTTGAAAATCTCATCCCAATTGACTTTGCAAATTGCTTCCCTTCGGCCAAACCATCGCCCAAACTTCATTTGATGGACTTAAACTTGGCTTCTTTAAAATATGTGGGATGTGAGATTCAAACTTGTGACCTTACATATAATATTTTAAGCTTCTTCCAACTCATCCGTACAACTTATTAGTTATCATCTTGTTTCACTTGGTGTACTTCTTTATTTCTATAGATGCTTGATCTTCAAGTCACGTTCTTTCTTCTTCGGGATTTCTTCATTGATTTCTTGAGAGATTTCTTCTTGAATTTCTTTGAGAGATTTCTTATTCGGATGATAGTCTTCATAACTTGTGTACATATTTTCATATGCATACATCTTCCTCTTTTGTTTGCCATTTTCACTAGGCAAATTCTTGATTTTAGGCTTTATATCTTCTCCATCCATTTCCTCAACTAATGAATTTATTTTTCCCTTTCTTGGTCTATGACTCGACTAGTCTAACCAAAATAAAATTGGGGATCTACAATTTAGAATATGGCATATCAAAATCTATTACAATTTATTCCTAACACAGGTCCTAGGGGTAAAAGACCCGGTTATGTGTCGCGCTTTTCTACCGACCTTAAAGGGTCCTGTTTAGAGGTGGCTCATTTCTCTTCCGCCTGGATCCATTCGCAGCTTCGAATGTTTGGCCGACCGATTCATGAGAAATTACGCGGCAAACATCAAACTTAAGAAGGACCTTACGCACCTCAGCGACATCTATCAAGACGAGGGTGAATCGCTCAAAGCCTACCTTGCATGACGGCAAAAAGAGATCCAGGCCATAGAAGAGGTTTAGGACCAGACCGCGCTCATGTTCTTTATCGAGTCACTTCTATCTTGAAAACTATATACTGATCTCCGGGATAACCGGCCAACCACATATGCAGAAGACATACACATGGCCAACAAGCGAGCCAACACGGAGCAGGCGGTTAGGTACAAAAGGCAGCGAGAAACTGGTGGGAACTTCGGGTCTAAACGAGCGAGAGGCGAGGCGAGAGAAAAACACCAGGGGGACCGACCATGTCGTTCGAAAGGGAGGCGTTCTTTTGATAGGACCAGCGCCCATTCTTACCGACCGCCTCCCCCTCATCCAATACACGAGGTCCAGGAAGGCGCACCGCCTCCGCCAACACAGCCGAGTGACCATCCAGAAGGATCCGACCATAATAAGTAATCGAAA